GTGAATTGTGCTGCTATGAACATCAATGTAGCAGTGTCCCTGTAGCATGCTCTTTTTAGGTCTTTAGGGAATAGACCGAGAAGGGGGATAGCTGGGTCAAATGGTGGTTCCATTCCCAGCTTTCCATGAAATCTCCATACTGCTTTCCAAATTGGCTGCACCAATTTGCAGTCCCACTAACAATGTACAAGTGTACCCTTTTCCCCACATCCTCGCCAGCACTTATTGTTGTTTGACTTCGTAATGGCTGCCAATCTTACTGGAGTGAGATGGTATCTTAGGGTGGTTTTGATTTGCATTTCTCTGACTGCTAGAGATTATACAAACAAGTGTGGGCCAGATTTGTTTTGAGAGTCAACCCTGTTTTCTAGGACAGTGTGCTTAACTATGATGACAGACTGCATTCTAAAACTAGTGAGGATGATTTGAAAAATTAGTTGACTGATTGCCTTACTTTATTATAGCAATGATCTCTTTAGTTATTTAAAAAAACAGGATTAGTTTCCACAGTATGTTAATCTCTGCTAAATTTAAATTAGGAATCTGTCTGAATCTAATGATTATCACTTTAAATTTTATTTTTTCAACTCAAATTCAGAAGGTAGGACTCTATAGTTAAAGCTGTGACTATAGAATAACAGTGCTCAAGAATGGAAGTATTATATGAGGTCAATCAGAACTTTAAGATTTTCTCTAGCAAAAATTGTAGATTGAACTGCTCAGCAAATTTCAGAGAGTAGGATGGAATAAAATTACATATGTAGCACGATGCTATTTTTCATATTCAACACAAGATATCTTGCCAGGGGTTCTAGCAAAGATCCATATATGTTCTTTCTGTATCTTTTAACATAATGTCTTCATTAATAAGAATGATTTTGATTTTCAGATGACCTTTATGTGAAAAATGATGCGAGCATATGCGCTTTGATTTTTTTTTAATAGATGGATTGCTATATATTCCTACCCAGTTTCTCTTGAATGCTTTTCTGAAAAGTTTTACAGGATCTCAGTCTGTGACCTTGAACAATGTATTTGAGTATAATGCTGACTACCTTATATAAGGCTAATTTTAGCTTAATTTATCATTGGTTAATACATAGTAGCAACAATACTCAGCTTGTATGAATCAGGTGTTCTGAACAGTTAATAATGTGCCTTACTTCTGGCTAACTAACTTAAATATTAGCCTTGTTGCATATCTCCCAAAACTATCTAATAAATATCAGGTCTAGTAACTAAATAATGTTTTCTTCTGTGGGTGTCTAAATGTTCTGGCACGTCCTGCTGCTATATGTCTTGGCTTATGTATAAAAGTTAAAACTGAAGCCTTTTCCAGTGATGTACCACTTATTCAATTTGATCTTGATCATAGCTAGAAATTTGTGAAGGGAGTTTTCAAAGAAAGTAGAAATTATAAGGAGAAATTACAGTAAGTAAAACCAGTGTAGGTTAATATATCAAAGTGATAGAAAAAAAAAAAAATCTTGCCCAGCCTAGGCTGCAGCCAAAGCTGAAATTCACAAGAATGCTAATATCTCTGCTGGAGGCTTGGACAGCCATTTTTGTCATATTTCCATGGAAACAGACTGGCAAAAGGGGGTTAAGAGGCTACAAAATAATCACCTGAAAAAGAAGCTTTAAAAACCTCATCATGATTTTGAATGATTATTTGAAAGCTCCTAACCCCATCTATTTTTTTTTCCTTCTTGATCTGAAGCCTATTCCCATGGAAACAGGAGTGGGGATGGCAGCTTGAAGTCTTAGATTTCTGCTGAATTTTCGATGAACCTGATTTTCTGATTGAGTCATGAAAGAACTCATTTTCCTAGATGGTTGGTGGATTTATATCCAACAGACTTTAAAATGTCTGTTCTTTTTTTTAAAAGTTTAAAAAATAAGTAAAATATTTTGACCATGTCTTTCCCATTTTGGGATAGATGCTAGAAAATTAAAAGATTGATGGACAGCTATTGGCAGCATTTCCATAATTGTCAGACAGAAACACTTTCTTACTATTTTGGTTACTTCTTTTGAAGCATCCGAAGGATAGCATCATAATGCTTAAAACAGTTTAACTGGAAAATACTGCTGGTGAATTTAGTATGTTAATTTGGTTGGTGTGATTTTCATGCAAACATATGGCTACATTTCATACTTACAGTTTTAGCTCTGTTGTGTGGGTAGATCATTGAAGTATTTAACACATTGAACCATAATAAAAAATTTGTATAAGCAAAATTATATCTAATTTGAACATAAGGATTTGGTTGAAATGATGAATGTTCATCAGTTACTAAGTTAAATATAATATGTTAGACATTATGTTTTAGTTTGGGTTCTTCTGTTCATGAACAGTTTGGCTGTTTGTGAAACCAAGTTTTGAATAACAGTGATTTATTTTGGAGATGAAGGATTCTTCAATAGGAGAGTATGGAAATAAGAAAGGGAATCCAGTAATGGTAGCTGCCATGGTGAGCAAGTGGAACTTCTTCGTACTGGAGAGATGCTGGCAGCAAGTGCAAAACACACACATTAGAGGAACCCTACTCAGGAACTGAGGGACCTGAAGCCCTTGCAACAGCTTCTTTCCATCACTGGTTGAGGGCTGCTGGACGGGAAGGACACTTAGCTTTTTGCAGTAACCTGTGCTGGGTATACTAAACAGGCTCCTATGGCCCAAGAAAGCCATTGGGTAATGAAAGGTGGGTGAAAATTAGTCAGGACCTCTTTATGGTAAAGTGTGTCAAGGATAACTTTCAAACTCAAATAAGATCGTGCCACTGAACTACATGTCTCTTTTGCAAACTAGTGTTCGTATCTCTTTGTGTTGAGGTGTGTGTTGTATACCTTTTATAGAAAAGCTTCTAGAAACTGCTTACTTTTATTAAGCATTAGACTCCTTCATACCTCCCCTAACTGCATATTTAGTGGGGAATATTACAGATTCATTAAGTACCACTATTCTATTTAACAGGTAGAGCTGTGTTTTTTTACTGGTTATTCTAATAAATGACACAAATGCAGATTCTCAAAACTCATTGCCACACCCAGCACTTCTATTGATAACCAAGGGCAGAGAAAAGGACTTTTCTATTTTCTTAGACTTTTTACCAAAGGCAAAAAGTAAATAAGGAACAGTTTGTATTCTATCAAATACTATACTAAAAGCAAGAGAAGAAGAAATTGTTCATACGGCTGTTACTTAGCTCACCTGAATATATCTAATGGATTCATAA